GGAGACTTAGGACGGGCGTCACAATACGTCCACCGATCGAATTACGTAAAAACGATAAGTCGACCACAACTTTCCAAGACGCTAGAAAGGGACGATAAGGCCTGCGAGCTTTTGCATAACCGGACGGTAGTCGCCATTCGGGATACGATTCTCGAACGCCGAACGATTGATGTTAGTGCAAATATACTTCTCGACAACGGCGCAGCGGTCTAAACGGATTATAAACTAATTTCGTCGGTCTATTCAAGACATCACCCATCATTCATAACCGCCATAATGGAAGGAAGAATTAATATACGAACGCAAAGGAATTATAGCGCGAGGAAGACCGAGGAAGCGGACATTCATAGGAGAGACGATCGAAATGGCTGCGGGACATTGTAACGGGTGATAACACGAAGACCCTGCCGTTAAACAGAGAAAAGTGGAAGTCGATTCTTCTTTCTTTTTTTTTCGCTATGACAAGGCCTCGGCCTTTAGAGAAGAACGGATAGAGTTCTGTGCTACTCCGATTACGACGCCAAAACCCCGTAACTTCCGACGTAAAAATATCGATATCGTACTTACGGAACTCATAAACACTGTTTTTGTTGTAATAAATCTGATAAAAAAAAAAAAAGGGAAAAAAAAGAAAAACGCCGGCGAATACGCTCGGAAAATAAATGCCCCGCGCAGAAATACCGCGGCGTTTCGAACGGTATCCGCCGCACAATACGATGGCCGTATTATAGCCGCGTGCGTTTAGTCGAAACGGCGGGACATACGTGTACAGGCACGGAGATTGGCTGTAGAGCGCGCGTGCGGTTCGCCTGCGGCGTCGTTAATCCGCTTCCGCCCGGCTAATCGAACCGTTTACGGGGCTACAACAACGCCCGCGCGTACGGAAACGATAGCCAGCGGTCGGCCGTGATTGCGGGATTCCCGCCGTCGACGGGACGCCGCGGAACGTTTTCGTTCGAAATCGGTATTGCGGTCGCAATACGTACGGTAACTGTATGCCCGTCGTTCGAAAAATACGGTCTCACTCGAACAGTGCGAACGAAACCGGGGGGGGGGGGGGGGGNNGCCCCGCGGCCCCTCCCCCCCCCCGCCCCCGCTCCCGAAATATGTTTGTGAGTTTTTTACGAAACGTATACGTAGTACGCGTAGTCGTTGTACGATCTTATACGCCGATTTGGAACGTAATGTTGCGACGTCGTGTTTATAAACAAGTCGGTAACAGCTGGGCAGTCCAAAAGCGTAACACTGCAATATCCGACGGTCTAATCAATTTTCACGTTTCGACATTGTTCCGGTCGAAATCAAATCACGCGCATTTTTCGACATTACACTTTTGATCGAAACAGTTTAAACTCTCCCTGCAGGAATCAATCGTTGGAATTTAAATAACCCGCACGGGCGACCTGGGTTGTACAAATTGCTAAAATGATTCTATACTGGCGAATTTGTGACTTTTGTGTTACGTTCAAATGATTTTACGATTTACTCATAAACCTAACTTACGGTTATACCCTCTGCACCCTGCCAAACGCCATCAGAAATTGAATTTTTTTCAATTATATAACCACCACCCCCGAAAATAAATTCTGGTTGCGCCACTGTGACCGAACGAAATTATTACGAATTCGTATTGAACGAAGAAAAAACCGAAAAAGAGCCGATACTATTGATGGGAGCGTTCCACCGTTGTATTACCGGTGAAAATTTGGGACGGCTATAGGATACTCGTAGATTTATTTAATTTGCATGTACAATGTATTGTACACGTACGTGACGATTGCTGACGAAACACGATTCTGACACTGACGTTTTAGGTTAACGCGACGTGATTTTTATACGATTTTCGTCGAAATTCGAATTTCAAAAAGCTTATACAAAAACGACGGTGCGCGTATTACACTCGACTTTTTTTTTTTGTTTTCTTTTTGCCGCCAAACGACGATTTCGACATCGGTGAAAACCGTGAAACGAACGAATCCGGATTCCGCGCGTTCCAGATTTGTGAGGTTTTTACTAGTGATGAGCACCACCGAATAGTTTACACTCTCGATAGTTAAAATAAACTATCGAATGCTATTCGAATGATACAAACCTAACCGATTAGTGGTTTTACAATGAAAACTGTCGAACGGTTCGGTAACCGGCCGGATGGCTCGGAAGAAAAAAACCTATTCGATAGTGCTATTCGGATATTTCCGTTCATAAGTTATCGATTTACATTTAATGAATTAATTGTCTTTATCGGCGAACGGGCCGCCGTCCTGTTCTGCGGGCGGTAGTAGCTCACTGCTCTCGTTTTGGGACCGTGGACCGTCGGCGGCATCGAATTCTCGTTTTTCAAGATTAAGAACACACAATGACGTTATTGTTCGTGATCGTAGTACTACGCGTGTTATGAACCCGTTTTTCCGTACAAAAAGTCCTGAAACTATCGGATATACGCGTGACCGTTCGCATAGTTATCGAACAGACTGTCGCGCAGTTCGGACGGTGTCTGTTCGCCAGTGCCGGTCGCGCGGTTTTTACGCGCGCGCCGTTCGGTCGGATTTTCAACGGCGGTGTAATGCGTGTGTTGTTACGATCGGATTGCGCGTTGACGAGATAAATCGGATCGTTTATTTCTAGACACGCGAACGGCAATAATGTTACGTTTCGTTCGTTCCGGACCACTCGACGCAAACACCGTCGTGTGGATTCGACACTGGTGACGCGTTCGCTTGTTAACCGCCGTTTCATCATCATCGCGACGCATCCGAACGCGAACCGGCGGCGCGCAGGTATTACTCGTATTATCATAACAACGTCGATTTTTACGGTCCGCGCGGCGTGAATCGCAATTAAACAATTATTTATTGTTAAGTACCGACATGCATATATAAAAAAAAAAAAAAATAAAAAAAAAAAATAAATAAATATATCCTTCGACGGATTTAAAATGAATACCCTCGATTTTCGAGGGCAGGTACACGCGCGCTCACGCTCGCAGGTATTTCGTGTATAGTTCGCCCTAGCGAGGGTTGCGCCGCCCGCACAAAAGACTCGCTGACACGTATTGTGCGACGACGTCTTCGGATTCTACGCGGGTAATATTTCGACGAAGGGGAGAGAGGGGACGAACAAAAAAAAAAACGCCGTAAGGAAAACCGTCGTATTACTCGTAACCGCGTAGGTGTAACACGCGCATAATACACTATATTACAATATGGGAAATTATGATGAAATAACCGTCACTCTTCGTTTTGGATATACCGAGTGCCGCGAAGGAGCCCGCGTCGGTTTTTTACGCTATTTGATTGTACGAATACGTGTATTTTTTTTTTTACTTTTTTCGATTCCGAGTTTGACCATTGGTTAATGGTTTTATACAAGATGTTTATTATTTTATTTTTTATTTTTTTTTTTAACGCTTTTTATACCAGAAAGCTTACTCCGATTATCGAGTATAGCACCTTTCCCGAATGGAAATGTTCTCTGGGCGGTACTTTAAAAAGGTCATTTTTTTGAAATTCTCATTAATATTCGAGACAATGAGAAAAACCTGGGTCTTTAGATTGAAAATGATTGAATGATTTTAAAGATTAAAAACAAGATTGTCACCGGCAACCGTTTTTATTTATTTTTTGTTATTATCAAGTTTTTTATTATTTTAATCTTTTTCAAACAATCATTGTTGTAATAATTTTATCGTAATAATATTACATATATTTATATATTGTTAACAAAGCGACACTGTCCAACTGAACACCGCTCAGAATCGTTTTTTTCGTTAGCAACGATGTATCGGTTGCTTATAGCATATGCATTGAATTCCTGTGTGCATCCTAACTTCCCAATTTCCCATCTACAACAGTGGCTGTACCCACGTGCGAAATATGTCCGTCCGTTTTCCTCTCGGAAAACGTTTTTTCCGGATAGTAATAACGGGCCGATTCGTTCGCGGCATACCTTAAAAGACGCGAACTGTATACATTTTGTGAAATCCAAAAGTTTTCTCGCAAACAACATACGAGGCTAACGTCACCGTGTCGAATAAATGGCCGCCCCATTATTAGACGACTCCGAGGACATTAGACGTCCTGAGCGTCCGAAACCATATGGCTCGGGTTAAGAATTCAAATTAAGGACAGGGGAGCCAGTTCGTTAGAAGCGCGGCTCCATCAACGTGCAAAATATAATGTATATTAACCCCCACTCGTAGTATGTAAGATGTAAATTGTTAAACGTATTTTATAAAGATTGTAAAAAATAAAGACTCGTTTTAATGATAAAGCCCCGCCGAGACATTGAAAAAAATCAAAAAAATTCGTGAACCGAATACTTTTATTTTACACTTCGCGTAATTTTTTTTATTAAATTCACACGGATACATAATTTAATGAAATTCGATGGATGCACTCGGCTATTACGAACGAATAAGTATTTATGTGATTACAAATTAATTAATGAAATTTAAAACTACGCGTAAATAGTATGATTAATTGCGCGTATAATAATTATTTATTATGACAATTTAAGGAATTATGACAGTAACATTTAACATTTTGCGTGACAATAATGATGTCTACTTTGACGTTGACCTTTACAAGTACAACTGTATAGCATACCCGGGCCCGTCAGAAATATTAGAGACAGTTTTTCACGCAAAGTCAATTTTCAGATTCTGAGTAGAGCGAAGAAGCTTGTGGTGTTTTACAATGGTATTTAAATATTTACTATTTTTTTTTATTCTTCATCTGTGAAGAACTTTTCTACCAGAATGTTTCTCACGTGTAACATTTTAATAAAATATTAAAATTTTACCTGTAGGTACAATATTAAACAAATATTATTATAGAAAATGTTCAATGTATATGTAATTATTTTACCATAATATGACAAAATATATATATTGTTGACAAAGCCGAATTCCCCTAAGAATCGTTTTTTCGTTAACAATGGTTTATCGTTGCTCACAGATGCACATTAAATTTTCGTGTGTATCCTACCGCGGCTGCCTAACGGAGCGACCTGGAAAAATGATTGTATTATTGTATTATACGGTACAGACGATATTAATACGGTTATACCGCGATGGTATATTCTTCTTTCTTTTGTTTCGCGGTTAAAAGGCCTCTCAGGACCGTGCCGTTTCACAGCCAATCCTTCCCTATATCCCGCAATGCTCTTTCCTACCGATTCGCGCCTCCACAGCTATTGTATAGTGATTCCGCGTCCTTTTTAAAACCAATATTCTTCCCGTCTTGTTTTCGGTCTACCGAGTGAATAAATATATTAGATTATTGTAACCGCGGCGTCGAAAATCGATTTTACAAGCGGTTTTTTTTTCTCCCGAAAATTATTTTCTACGCGGACGTTAACCGTTCGGACCGGCGCGACGATTGGAAATTGTGTTGTTTTTTTTTTTTATTCCCCCTCCGACCGACAATGTTATAATAACGAGCAATGATAAAAAAAAAAAAAAAACAGAAAACAGAGCCGACACTCCGTTATAAATGGACAAACGACCGCGTTCAGCTGAAAACAATACACACAGGAATCTTATTATTTATTCGTCGTCGTCCGGTAAATTCGATCACGACGGTATAAAATATCGTTAGTTATTACACGTTGTAATTAGTTTCGTTCCGATCTGTAGGGAATACAATAATGATGGCCGGTCATCATACCGGGTGTATGCGGACACGCGGTCGCGCCCTCGGCGCATACGTTTTCGGCGTTTTGAAGATTATATTATATTGTACCGCGGTCGCCACCGTCAACCTCGAAATGTACAAAACAGACACCGGGTGTACACAAAGAGAGGGGATTTTAACCGAAACCGTCGGTTTTAGACGGGCGTCGTGCCGTGTACGTGCGTCGCTGGGCCTGAAGGTAGGTAGTGTCAGCGAACTGGAAAAAAAATACACACACACAAAACGAAGATTTTATAAAATATCAAAATACAAACGTACATAGTTATCCGATGTTTGTAAAATCCTTTTCATTGCACCGAAACGAAAATTATGCATAAACCGCAGTATATACGCGTTAAACGGCATTCTGATATTTCGCCGATGTAATGCGTATATGTACGCAATTTTCTTTTGCCGATCACTCAAACTCTGCAGATTGCAGTGCACTACGGTCGAAATGCCAAGTATTAGGTACACGCCGTATTGTAGTTACGCGTATGAATTGAAACCGGGGACTAAAAACGGGGAATCCAAAACATGTGTATATTGTTATTTGTATGCAAGCAACGGGTGTGTAAACAAATTTAAATAAAAAACTTCCTTTTTTACGTTCTCCGGGTTTTTTTTTAAAAACTATGCTACGCTGTACATAAAACTCGTACGACAAAAATATCGGCCCTGTATACACGCGAACAGTGTAACGTGCACCGGTAACGTTACTTCGGTACAAAACCGAGTAAACCAAAGCAAATAATCCGTCGGTAAGTTATAAATGTTAATATCACTTTACCGTTTTACGCGTAATTTATTTGTCAATTGTTTTATTCCCATAACCTCAAAAATCGTTATTATAATTCCCGATTCTCGGCGAGACGACAAATAAATTACTTTGTGTACATTCGGTATTGTTTGGCTTTGAAACAATTAATTCGATATTCGTCTTCCTATAAAAGATTACAAATCACGAATTTACAACGCGTTATACGAGCTTATAGGTATACGGAAACAAAGGTTCGCACGTCTGTAGCTCGTACGTCACGATAAAACGATGTAAGTATTTTGCAATTCCGTTAACATTTTCTTTCTTAGTAGCTGAGCAAATCGAGAAATATATTATGGTTACATACAATGATGTTTATTATTGATTCGAAGTGAGCGATCTGTTAGTTTTTTCTATTAGATGTGTGCTTCTTTTTTTCTTATTTTTTATTTTTTTTTTTTTTAAATCTGTAAATAACTTTTCTACCAGAATTTTGCTCCGATTTTCAAGTGTAGTACGTTCTCTGAAAGGAAATTTTATCCGGGAAGTTCTTTAAAGGGGTCGTTTTTTTGATTTTACAAGCGGTTTTCGTATTAATCGGCAAAACCTGTGGAAAAACGAGAAAATTTACAAAATGTATTATTTTCAATTTTGTTTTTTTATTGTGATTCAGGATACGCAGAGACTTGCAATTTGGACAGAAAACTAATATTCGCCTTTCCTAGACGTGGTAAAATGTTCAAAACATATTTAAGCTATTTATAGACATTTTAATTTTGCGAGTTATTTACGTAATTTTCATTTGACGGATAAAATTGTTACAGTAAATATTTGAAATATTTGAAAATTGAACAGGAAGTTCATTACAAGTCGTGGTAAAAAAAAAAAAAAAAAAATTTAGTGCAATGTAAAATTTTAATACCAAATTTTGACGAAAATCGTAAATATTACGGCCAATCGAAACGCGCAAAACCGAACTCCGTCCGAATCGTTTTTCGTACACAAAGGTTGATTATGGATATACATTAAATTCCCATCTGTATCATATACCTTTCCAATTCCTCTCCTACAACAGCGGCCCTTCACCCGTCGTGCGAAATATTTGTCCCTCATTTTTTCATTCGAGACGGCACGGACGAATGAATTTCGCAATGTTGTCGCGCGGAAAAGCAAATTGCCGCGGTAATCAGTCCGGAAATAAGTTAATTACCGGTGACCGTACGTCGTTAATTATAATATTAGCCCGTATAGTAGACGACGGATTTGAATTCGTTCCCAGCAATACATTCGATGTACCGTATTATTTCCGTCCGAAACGACGACGAAGCTCAGATATCCAAAACGCAGAGTCGACCTGCTGTGTTGGTCCCTCATGTGAGGGTCGAAGGACGACGGGCGCAGTTTTCCGGGGCGGTTTGTGTTGGACGAATTCCTAGAAATTGCGTTGGGTTTGGGCGAGTCGTTAAAAAATATTATTTTGTGTTTGGCCGACTGTTGTCAACAAACCGTTTTCACTCTCGTTTCGACAGACTCGGACTGTCCGCGTGAGTTCCACGAGTACGATTAAACATCTCCGATCGAAATGCATCGTTTATTTCGTTTTGCTGTAGAAACGGTTTCAATTTTAAGATCCATAATATTATCTTGTATACTGCAGGTACTCACAACAATGTTAACAACTATTAACACTATAACGAGTTTATTACGTTTCCAACGTCCGAACATAGCTAATATTTGTAAAACTAAAACTGTTATTAAATTTAAAACAGTACAAAATTATTACTTGCGTAAGGAGAAATCACGATTTCGTTATCTTATTTGACGATACAGAAAAACCGATTATTTTGCTGGTATTCTCTTATGTCGCGTTGTTTGAAATTTTATCTTTTAGATTCTGAGCGGAGCGAGGAATGTATTGGTTTTACAACGATTTTTTTTTTACTTTGTATTTAAACAATTTTCCACCAGCAATTTTACTCCGTTTTACAATGATAGCACTTTTTCTGAAAGGAAATCTGAATGGCGTGGTACTTCAAACAGATCATTTTTTCATTTTCCCAGGAGTTTTCCCAACAAACGGGAAAAGCGGGAAAATAGATACAATATTAAACAAATATTATTGAAAAACATATATAATGCATATGCAATTATTTTACCGTCATACAGCGTATGTATTGTAGACAAAACAGCACAAATCGACCGAACACCGCTCTGTAGAATCGTTTTTTAGTTAGCAATGGGTAATCGTCGCTCATAAATATACATTAAATTACCTGTTGCAATAGCTGCACCCGTCGCCATTATCCAAGGACGGTGTCTTTTTATTTTACATTGGACCAATATCGTACTCGCTCAAACACGTTGCACGGAACTCGCCCGAACTCGCACTGCTTTTGTTATGCGGCAAATAAAGGTAACACGCCCAAACGCATTACGACGTCCGTTTTCCGAGGAGCGGCCCGGTACCAGTTGACCAGAACTGTTTCTCCCGGTTTTCGAAACGGACGGAACACGCGGAACGTGCGAAATAAAAACCCCGAACGGAGCGAAAACCGCGGAGTCCGTCGACCGCCCGCGCAGTCTCCGGCCGAAGACTTTTCCGAAAAGCCTATTTTCGGACGCCCGACCAGACGTTATTCGTGTCGCGCGTACGAAAAGACAAACGAAAATCCCGTAACCCCAATAATACCGTAATGCGCTCGGCTCGCCGTTAACGGGCCCGAGGATTTCTCGCGGAGCAAATTAATTACACGCCCGCCGCCCGCGCCGCGGTCGGCACGCGGATAATGGCGTTTTGAAGGTCCGCGAACCGTAGACGAATCCCCGCGGACGCGACTATCGCGAGCATCCGCCGGAATTCCGATTCCGTAGCGTTGCGCATACGACGACACGATCGGTTTCGATTTATTTCGATGTCCGCGTACGCACATCGTCGGCCACCCCGCCGTACGGGCTATACGAACACGAATATATTTTCAATCGATTGCCGTAACCTCGGTGACAACAGAAAAACATTGTTTGAGTGTTAAAATTGTCGAATTCGATTATCGACGGCCGTCAGTGCAGCAGCCACAACGCGGCCGTATTGAGCTGTATCTCGCCCGCCCATATTGCCGACTATATTAACATAATCGTCGTTTTTTTTTTATCTTTAATTTTAATTTTTAAGCTGGGCACGTGTTCGTGCGAAACGACACGATTTGAAAACGTTCGCTTAAAAATTAAAATTACAAAAAAAAAAAAAAAAACGGCGGCACGGACAATTTCCTTGTCTTTGAGTTCGATTACCGGTCACTTCTCTCTGATATATCAAAACTAACGGCACTGCAAAGTCGTCCCATTAGTAAACTGCGCGGAGACGGCACGCCCGCGCGGGTATAGAACTTGCGCGTTTTAAAATACCGTAAATTTTCCGTTCAAAACCGCCGAATGATACCTATGAACGAGTAAAATATCTCCGGAACGTTTTATCCGCGTCTGTTTAGAAAAGATCGCTATAAGTATTGCTGCGAAAATTTCAAATCTCCGAGAATAATTTTAACCGTATATGCACAATAGTGAAACACAAAAACGAACAAGATCGAAACCTTTGTCCGGCCGTTTTCCCTATAGGTTTTCGTCCCGACGTAATGGATCTCGGTTCGTTTATCGAATGATTTTCCTGGGTAAAAATAAAACGTGACGCAAAAACCGAACCAAAACGTCCGTCGCCGCGTTAAGAATGTGAATTTTTTTTGTAAAAAAAAAACACACATCGTATAGTATCGCCAAAATCTAAAATATCGTGTTGCATCGCTTGTCGCAATAACAATA